ACTATTTCACTAAAAATCTGTAGTCCTGGGTATGACAATAAACTACAACTGGCAGCATCCTCTGATTGAGAGATTAGAATTTTTGAAGAGCTACTTACTTGCTGTTGTTCCCAGATCCACCCTGACCCAGGATGGTAGTGCTTGTTAGGGTCTCAACTATGGACAAATAGGGAACCCTCAAACAAAAACAAAACTCTACGAAAGTTTATAGAAAAATTACCAGAAATACATATTTATAGTAGAATAACCAAAAATACATTTTATCTGTAGTAGAAGGCATGCAATTGCTTAAATAACCCATAGAGGTTGATATGACACTAAACAAAATCAACCAACACAAAGAATTCTTTCATGACATTAATCCGTATAATATCCTACAATTTCTTAAATCAAACTATTCCAAAGTATAACTTCAACGAGGCTACAACATAAAACACACATACCACCACCACAAGTAATCATGTCCATACAAACATGTATATGGACAAAAGCTGGGTTTCATCTACCATGTACTCAATTGTGAAAGCAAAATAACATATCATATTTTTATTACTTCAAAGCTCACAAGAAAATTTAATTTCAGCAATAAATGACCCATAAGGAGTTGACGTGCCATTAAACAAAAAAATTTGAAGAGCATTTACATGGCCTTGAGGGTGATAAATTATTTTCTCCTACTACAGCCGCTTTCCTACAGACAAAATATTGCAAGCCTACTACAGTTCTGTTGCTGTTTTCATGTCAAATGTTCAAATTATTTACATTTCTTAATTCCACCAGTTCAAACCTTTACAGCTAAGACCTTCTACACTACATTCATAAGGTCAAATCATCCCCATTCACTTTATATTCCATTAGTAAGGAAGAAGTTCCTTCAGACAAACTCTTCCTGAGAACCACTTTTTTGTGGAACTGACTCCTGCAGGAATACTTCTCTAGACACTATAAACTATAAAATTTCCAAGAGGATGCTGAGAATCTAAGGTGAGGTACATTGGCAGATTGGTTGACCAAGGTCATGGTGGAATGATGAGATAGACCTGGAGTAGATTTGTGAAACTGTGAATCTGTGGTTACACAAGTGGTCTGTCATTGGGTGATCCACCAACACACCTCACCAGGCCTTTCAACAGGCTTCCTTTACCATCACCACTGTGACCTCACCCATAACCACATATTACCCTTACCAGCAACACCCTTATGCCTAATCACTTCCCTCAACAGTGGCAACTAAAGAACCACATATCAACAATTCTATCACCTTTCCACACAATTAATTATATATATATATATATATATATATATATATATATATATATATATATATATTCTGAAAATTGATTATACATGCTGTTAAAACTTTAATCCTTGTTTGTTCTTGGCTTTGCAACCAGATGCTCATTATAACAATTGGTGTCAGGAGTGAGACGCAATGGATATAACAACTGCTGACATGTAGTGTGAATCAGAAAGAGATCTGCTTTGCAGCAGAGTATAAATCAAGTTTATGGAGTCTGAGGAAGTATTGTCTTCTTTAAGACCTAGAGGATTCATTCGCTTGAAGCCTTTTTTAATCACTGATCTGAGAAAACACCAATCTTATCAGCTTCTGTGACAGGCATTATGGCATAACCCATTCTCTGTTCTGTTAGTGTAATAGGGAGGGAAGAATCCCCAGGGAATAGGCATGCTTCATTTGTGCTGCATCTAGCCTGAACGAGAGACTTGTCTGTTTTTACCAAAAGGCCAAAAAGATATAATTTTTCCTGATCTCCGGTAATCGGAAAGATAGTAGAGACAAAGAGTCATGCCTTTGCCCCAAGGACATAAGGGTGTCTGCTGGAATTTGAATTTGATTGAACAAATCCATTTTCTTTCCTGATAACTGTTAGCTTGTTGTAAAGAGAATAATAAACAGAGAGACAGAAAGAATTAAAGACAGACAAATGGAAAAAAGATAGACAAACAGCTCAGAAAAAAAAATATCTCTCTCGTTCTCTGGCTATAAGGTTAAAAATGAGAATTTCATGTTTTATATTGTTCAATCCAAGCAATAGTCTTACTCAAAATGAAGAGTGTTTGCATAGTACATCAATATCTCAATTAATTTTACAACTATGCATATATTCTTACAGAAATTACATACATGTATATACTTAAGGTCCTCATGTATAACCAGCTTGAGAGTGGACAAAGCACTGTTGGATGGCCATGACTCAGGTATAAAGACAAGCTAAAGTGTAACCTCTCAGCTATCAATGTGCCTCATTCGACCAAGTTACTTTGGATATAAATAACTGGAGATATTTGTGCCAGAGTGGTATCAGAAATTTCAAAATCAATTGTATTGCCCGGCTAAGTGATGAAAGACAATGGTGAAAAGCATCAAAAAATATTCCTGTGGCTATCACAATTTTGTGCTGGTGAGACAGAAAAGTACTAGAAAGAGGAAAAAAGTCAAACAGTTATGTCCTGACCCCTAAAAGAAGAGGTATTGAGCAAAATTTCATCGGAAAATTAGATCAGAGGAAGGTGATGTATTGGAATGTCCCACACTCCCTATCGTCTATACAGACTGACTATATCAATAGATATATATAATAAGCAAAGAATATACCTGGCAGACTTGCTTCAGGAATTACTAGCCTGCTAACTGATTCCCTGTCTTTCAGTAGTGTATTCTCTTTAAAATAAACTTTTCTTTCATCTACGCCCATGCTGCTGTTCCTTTCACTTGAGTACTACCTTTGTTTGTTTGTAACCTTCAATAAGGTTACAACACACAATATTTGGACTTGTATAAAGGTCACTGGTGGGACTCAAGTGTCACATACAACACAATCAAGGACTGAATGAGGCTGTCAAATCCTCATACATAGAAATCAATGGGAGAGTTCATCATATATATATATATATATATATATATATATAATATAAATAATTAAAAATAATATATATTATCTAAACACAGTTTCATAAACAGACAAAAAATGCAATTGTTGATGATAAATGTAGTAATGGTTGAAAGTACTTGGATTCAAAAACATATTAGGTATATACATACATACATATGCATATATATATATATATATATATATATATATATATATATATATATATATATATGTATGTATATACCTAAGGTCTGAATGTATAACCAGCTTGAGAGTGGACAATAATATATATTTGATAATACTTGATGATGACTGCAGTAACAGTTGAAAATACTTGAATGTAAAAACATATTTGGAAAGTTTACCATCATCCCCTAATATAACAACCATGTCAGCATGAATGTTCTTGAGAGGTAAACCTCTTTTTCTGACTACAATCTTTTGTATGATAAGAAGATATTGAAGCGTAGAAAGAAATAATACCGTTTTAAGGAGAGAAGAACTAATGAATATCAGGGGAGATGAGAAGAATGGTAGAAACTAGTCGATGGTTTTGAAGTTTACTTGAAATGATAACCACCACCACCATCATCATCAGTACAGAATAAGCAGACCAATTCCCAAAGACATGCCAAAAAGGAGCTCTTAATTATTTTGTTTTCAATTCAGCTCCCAAAAATGCATCAGATTTCAAAGTGTTGGTCATACATTAGGGTAACTTGAACAGCAAAATAAAAAAATTTTCTTTCTTTTCTTGTTGATAAAGTCAGTAAAAAATAAAACAAAAGCCACTTATCATCATTTAGGGAGGTTGTTTTTGTTTGTTGGGTCAGTCATGATGGAACTGAGCAAGCATCTGGAAGGCAAAAAGAAAAATAGAAGGAAACAAAATACAACTTTAAGTGAAAAGAAATTTTGGAGAAAAGAGATGTGCATTATGAAACCTATTAAAAAAATAAAATAAATAGATGCATTTTGTTTTCAATTTGAAATGATTCAAATCGTAGTCTGATTATGAGAATGTGGATATATAATGAACAAGCCAGAAAAAATTAAAGGAAAAAAGGACATTTTTACATCATTTACTGTCTTGCCTCAGAGAATATAAGACAATTTTTTGCTATGATTTGATTTTTATCTTTTAGCTTTTTTTTCCTATAAAGCCAACATTTTTTTCTTTTATATAAAATTATTGCTGGAGTTTTACAATGGCCATTGTGACTAGAAATAATAATTTATTTTCATATTTCTTTTTCTTATCACTATAGATTAAGCCCTCCAGATCACGAATATCAAAAAAATGTTATTTTATTAAATTTTATAAAAGTTAATGGTGGGGAGGGGGTCCAGTTTGCCATATAAATTCATTGTAAATTGACCCCCCCGATGGAAGCCAAAACAAATGTGCTCATACCACGGGATTTCTTAATATATATATATATATATATTAAAATTTTTTTTTTTAAATTCATAATCTGGAGTTCTTAACTGGTAGTTATATATGAAAAAAAAAACCTAGATTATGAATTTCAATTTCTTTTTAAATTTTTTTTACATTTTAAGAAATCATGTTATAGCCATATTTTGATTTGGGTTTCTGTAAGGGATATTAATTTACAATAAATATACATAGTAAACTGCACTCCCCACCATCAACATTTTACAAATTTAATAAAAAAATATTATTTCATATTCTTGATCTGAAGTGTTTAATCTCTTGTAACTGAAAAAAAAAATGATTATTTCTGGTCGCATTGGAATATGACTCCACCAAATTATCTGTTTAGTCAGGAAATTTTTTTTTTTTTCTAAGGACAAAAGAAAAAAAAATTCTCTTCTTTTTAAATTTATTTTTTTCTTACCTAAAAAGAAGCAAATCTGAAAGAGAAAGCTTCCACTGAATTATTTTGATTATTTTATGAAAAAAGAAAAATTATATATTTTTCTAAATTTACACCCTATCTTGCTCAAATACATCCCTTCTCCTCCTCTATTGACACATCCCTTTTAAGCAGAGGGTGTAATTGATCTAAAAAAAACAAAAAAAAACAAAAGACAATAAAATTTTTCTAATTTACCAAAGTAAATGAAAATCCTTAAATTATAATGACTGCCTGCTTTACAAAATCTTTGGTGAGTAAAAAAAAAAAAAATTAAAAAAAAAAAAATGGTGACTATTGTTCAGGCAATCAAAAACTGACACAGATTTAGCCAAAGGACCTGACCTACTTATGAAGCCATTCCATTAATTTACGAACCTGCAGCAACTGTCAATGTATCTTACCAAGAAGAACTAATGCCTAGTATCTTTGTAATGAAAACAAAGATGCCTGTCTCTTTCCCTCTTTAACCAAATTCTTACCTTAACCCCACCCCCCATCCACCAACATTTTACAAGCATTACTGTCAACGCTTACTTGCTTCACTGATGTCTCCTTGCCAGTCTTAATAAACTCATCTGAATCTCCCATCAGTCAACCTGACAAAAAGTCTTGTTTTTAACCTTTCATATTTAAAATTCATATGGTTTTATTTAATTTTACTATTTTATGCTTTATAAAAATATATTTTCAAATGAAAGGAAACAAAAACTATTCATTTATGCCCATGCACAGATACATACACACAGTCATGTTGATATATATTCATATTTTTTTTTTAAGCATTTCACACCAAGCAAGGCAGGAAGCCACCAGGACGCAAGGGGTTACAGAGGATTTGGAGCGAGAGCAGATAGGAATGATAGAGGAAAGGATGAGGAGAAGGATAGTGGATGGATCAAGGCAACTGGAGATGTCAATTGACATTACATTTGAATAGTTGGAGATTATAGCTATCAGAGAAACAAGAAAACGGAAGAGAGTTCCACAGGCGAGAGGTGCGAGATATGAAGCTATTGGAGTAGAAGAATTGGCTACATTTAATAGTTTCAACAGTGAAAGGGTGAGAGTGGGATGCCAGCCTCATAGGACACATAGAATTCATAAAGTCTGGGAACCAGTGAAAGCAGCTCATCTAAGCAATTACCATGAAAGTATTTGTAAAAATGACAGAGAGAGGCAATGGCACATCTGTGAGAGAGCAACTGCAGATGAGATGCCAGATCAGGGCCAATTGCATTGCATATCCGTCTCTGGATCTTATCAAGAATCTCGATACAAACAGAAGGGGCTCAGAGCATATATGGCAGCAATACTCCATGCATATACACTATATCAAATTTTAAAATGCAAGTCAATTGGCTGATTTTGGTAAAATATTTTACAACATATTTATATTTGTCTGGTGAATATATCATGTGAATTTTCTTACACTATTGGATTTTGTTAGAAATATTTGCAATAACTTTTTTGTCGGCATGAGATTTTATCATACAAGTTGGATGTTCTTTATCATGTAAGTTGGAGGCTGTTGTTTATGCAAGTTGGTGAGCAGTTACCATGTAAGTAATGGATTGTTTATCATCTTTCTTTTTCTGTGCCATATTCTTTCAAGGTATAAGCAATCATGGCTCTCCACACTTCCCTCTAACCTTTGCAGCTCTCAACATGTTCTTTCCCCCTGCTACCTCCCGCAGAACATGTTCTGTCATCCACTTGCTTAAGTCCGCTAGGTATATCATGCATTGCTTTCCCTTGTCTCTCTTTCCCTCTAATCAACTCATGAGTATCAGATTCTCCAGGCCTTCTTATGTGTCCCAGGAACTTCAGCTGCCTCTTCCTGATATTAAGTATAAGCCTCCTCCTTGTTTGCATCCTCTCTAAGACCTCATCATTGCTCACACACTCAGTCCATGATATCATTGGCATCCTTCTGAAGAACCACATCTACATCACTGCTGTAAAAAAGGACAGATGCCATGTAACAACTCAATATTCTTTTCTTTGTTACCAAAGAAATCCTCTTGTCTCGCAATACTCTGCCCAGCTTATGGAATGTGTCCTTGGCCATCCCAATATGTCTACGGATCTCAGTGTTGCATTTAACATCCTCTGTCAAAATGCTTCCCAGATATTTAAAATTCCACGTTTACTTGATTCTAGTGTTCCCGACCTGCAAATCGCATTTAGGGCTCATCCTTTTACTGATGATCGTGCATTCTGTCTTCTTGTTTATGTTTAGTCTCTTCTTCTCAATCTCTGTCGCTACCTTCTGTAGGGGAATTTGTTATTTCTTTTCCTTGTCTGCTATCAGTACTGTGTCATCTGCATATCTTTTGTTTATCATACAAGTCAGGGATTGTTTATTGTGCATGTTGTAGGTTGTTTATCATACAAATGAGAGGTTACTTAACATATTGTAAATAAATATATCTAATGATATTGATATTTAGTTTTTAATTTCAAATAGAGAAAGATTTCTATGTATCATAAGAAAGATAAAGCCTCGATTGGGGAAACAAAATATTGTAAAGTTATTGCACGATGAGAACACAACCTTGGAAAATTGCATGGAGATCAAGAAGCAATGAAAAAGAGAAATCAAAAATACTGACAAGATAAGAACAAGAAAAAATGGATTTAGCAATATCACAAAAAGAGATACGAAAAAAATTAAAATGGGAATAAGCAAGAAAACTGGATTGACCAGCAAGGAAATATTTGAAAAGTTTTATGTTACAAATGTAAATAGAGAAAAAACTTGCAAAATATTAAGAATATTGGCTAAAGACATTAAAGCAACCAAAATACCATCTTTAAGTAAATATCACAAAAAGAAACATGTAAGTTGGACAAATAAGTACATGAAACATGATTTCCAAACACTAATTGTTAGCATTGAATGTAGAGATACATTCATGTCAAGTCAGTTTCTGGGTGCTACTGGCATCATGTACCAGATAGAGAGTAAACTGAGTTCCATAGCTATGTATACAACAGCCTTTCACAGCTAGCTCATAACCATCTATCTTTCCCAGTGAGCTCATATCAATCCATCTCTCTTTCAGAGCAAGCTTATATATATATCTATCTATCTTTCAGAGCAAGCTCATATCTATACATCTATCACAGTGAGCTCATATCTATCCATCTATCTATACATCTATCACAGTGAGCTCATATCTATCCATCTATCTTACACAGCAATCTCATATTTATCCTATATCTTTTCAGAGCAATCTCATATCATACATCTATACATCTATCTTTCTATCTTAGCAAGCTCATCCCTCTATCTTTCATCTATCATACATCTATCTTCTTCAGAGCAAGCTCATATCTATCTATCTTTCAGAGCAAGCTCATATCTATCTATCTTTCAGAGCAAGCTCATATCTGTCCATCTCTCTTTCAGAGCAAGCTTATATATATATCTATCTTTCAGAGCAATCTCATATCTATACATCTATCACAGTGAGCTCATATCTATCCATCTATCTTACACAGCAAGTTCATATCTATCCCTCTATCTTTCAGAGCAAGCTCATATCTATACATCTATCTTTCAGAGCAAGCTCATATCTATACATCTATCATTCAGAACAAGATCATATCTATCCATCTATATTTCAGAGCAAGCTCATATCTATCAATCTATCTTACACAGCGAGCTCATATCTATCCCTCTATCTTTCAGAGCAAGCTCATATCTATACATCTATCTTTCAGAGCAAGCTCATATCTATACATCTATCATTCAGAACAAGATCATATCTATCCATCTATATTTCAGTGAAGCTCATATCTATCAATCTATCTTACACAGCAAGTTCATATCTATCCCTCTATCTTTCAGAGCAAGCTCAATCTATACATCTATCTTTCAGAGCAAGCTCATATCTATACATCTATCATTCAGAACAAGCTCTATCCATCTATATTTCACATCTATCTTTCAATCTATCTTAAGCTCTCATATCTATCCCTATCTTTCAGAGCAAGCTCATATCTATCCTCTCTTTCAGAGCAAGCTCATATCTATATCTATCATTCAGAACAAGATCATCTATCCATCTATATTTCAGAGTGAGCTATCAATCTATCTTACATCCTATCCCTCTATCTTTCAGAGAGCAAACTCATATCTATCCATCTTTCAGAGCAAGCTCAATCTCTCATTATCTATCCCTCTATCTTTCAGAGCAAGCTCATATCTATACATCTATCTTTCAGAGCAAGCTCATATCTATACATCTATCATTCAGAACAAGATCATATCTATCCATCTATATTTCAGAGCAAGCTCATATCTATCAATCTATCTTCTATCAATCTATCTTTCAGAGCAAACTCATATCTATCCATCTTTCTTCATATCTATACATCTCTCATTCAAAAAATCATATCTATCCCTCTATCTTTCAGAGCAAGCTCATATCTATCCATCTTCTTTCAGAGCAAGCTCATATCTATACATCTATCATTCAAAAAGATCATATCTATCCATCTATCTTTCAGAGCAAGCTCATATCTATCAATCTATCTTATCTATCTTTCTATCTTTCAGAGCAAACTCATATCTATCCATCTTTCATCAAGCTTATCTATAGATAGCATTCAAAGATCATATCTATCCCTTTGCTTTGAACTCATATCTTTCATAGCAAGTTCATATTTATCTTATCATTCAGAACAAGATCATATCTATCCATCTATCTTTCAGAGCAAGCAATCTATCAATCTATCTTATCCCTATCAATCTATCTTTCAGAGCAAACTCATATCTATCCATCTTTCAGAGCAAGCTCATATCTATCCTCTCATTCAAAAGATCATATCTATCCCTTTCTTTCAGAGCAAGCTCATATCTATCTATCTATCTTTCAGAGAAAGCTTATATCTTTTGCATCCATCTATCTTTCATAGCAAGCTATCTTTCTGTCCATCTATCTATCCATCATCTTACAAGTTCATATCTATCCCTCTATCTTTCAGAGCAAGCTCCTATCTATACATCTATCTTTCAGAGCAAGCTCATATCTATCTATCTTTCAGAGCAAGCTCATATCTGTCCATCTATCTTTCAGAGCAAGCTCATATCTGTCCATCTATCTTTCACAGATAGCTTATATCTTTTACAGTGAACTCATATCTTTCATAGTAAGTTCATATTTATCTTTCATAGCTAGCTCATATCTTTTTTTCACAATGAACTCCTATCTTTTACAGCAAACACATATCTATTTTTCCCAGTTAAGACAGCTCTATCTCAGTTCATATATGTCTCAGTTTGCTCATATCTATCCTTCTCATGATATATATATACCAGTTTGTTTATTTTTAGCAATATTATTATTATTATAAATATATAAAAATAAAATATAAAATAATAATAATAATGAGAATTATAAATAAAATAGAATAGAATAATAAAATAAAATGTTGTATAAAATAAATTAACTAAAAATTAAAAATAATAAAAATACCCCCACCATGCAATAAAAACTGTTCCTGCCAAAAATTCGGACATCCCACCAAAAGACACTAAATTCTGTTTCTTTGTACAGGCAACACATGTGTAACTACTCTCCCTGCAATATGGCTTGTAATAACATGGTTTAATTTCTCCCTTTTATCACATATACTATAAAACAGTTGTAATCTAAAATATGCATACACCAATATAAAAATATAAATAGATTATGTGAAATTAACATACAATTTACCATGGTTTTCCTGTTATTTGTGTATATTTTATTTCCTGTAAATTATGCTTTTATCTCGATGAACACAAAGCTAATTTCTGCTGTTATGATATGAATGAAGAATTCCTCATATATATCTATTGATATCTCAGCTTGCTCATATCTATCTCAGTTTATATATATCTTGGCTTCCTCATAACTAACTTCATATATATCCCAGTTTATTCATATCTATCTCAGTTCATATATATCTCCATTTGTTCATATCTATTTATCTATGTGCTTATTTGAATAAATTTTGATAAGTGTCTCTTGTGATTTGGCCTTTTATTGTTTTATTATGTAAAAGTCAAATACATTTTAATAAATAATGAATGTTATTTTTTTAAATGATTTTATTTACTTTTCAATTTGCACTAGGGTTTTTACTCATAATAAAAAAAAAAATTGGTAAAGTCTGTAAATCAAAGGTTTCATTTACTACCTGCTGCATGATCAGGTCATCAGCAACTAAACTGGTTCCTCCACCAGGATTTTCTGGTGAGGATGATGGATAAACATCCAGCAAGATTAAAACATAAGACCTGTCAAAGGACAGATGAACCTTGGAAGGTCATCAGATATCTAAGACAATGGGATCAGTTGGGCTCCATAATCATGTATTCAGCCAAGTAGACCTTCAGCAGGTCTACTTGCTCAAAATATGATATGCATAAACAAATGCCTCTCCAGCTTTCAACCCAAACCTGTGGAGGGAATTAGTCAGGTGTCTATCTGCCCTATGACCACATCCAATCATAAGTCTAATGATGATGATGTACAGTTACACTGGATGTACCAGAGGACCAATAATGAATCAGCAGGTCTTACAAGACAGCAGGTATTCTGTGAAGTTTGGGGCTGGTATTGCTGGCAGCAAAATTAAAGGTCCCTTTAAAGTTGATGATGGTGGCCAGATAAAGTCAGGGTATTATGGTAAGTTCTTGGATAGAAGGTTTCTTTGTGTGGTGCAAGTCACAAATAAGAAGCTTTCAGCTGAAGAATATATTAATTCAAGGCAATGTTTCTTCATGATCTGCAAAGCTGACTAGTTCCCAACTTGCTCCAAAAAATGCTTCAAAGGCACTAAATTAATGGACTATTGTCCTCATTTTTATTGCCATATTCATGACATTTCAGCTGTTGAACACTCTGGCCTTCTTCAGGTGATATTTGTTGGAATTTCAAACTGAATCCTTTATCTAGTCTATGGGGGTTGATTGCTCTAATTCCATGTGCAGTGCTTTTGTATATCTTAGTTTTAGCAAATTCCACTTGATAACTTAACACACCAAGTTTTTGTTCTCTCTGCTGTGGCCAGATATTGAACTCACAACTCTTTGGGTCAAGTTAGTTTTGGATCAATTTGTAAAGCAACAGATATGAGTATGGCAAAAATATTCAGCTAAAGAAGATCTTTGGGAAACAATAGACATTAACAAAATCAAATTAAAGAATGTCATGGAGCCCATTTTAAAATGTATATAATTCTGATGAATAGAGTGCATAACAGAATTAGGCTGGGAAATAGATTTAGAAATCTGATATTTATGACCAGAATGATAGCAGAACTCTTTGGTAAAGTCTTCAAGTATTTAATCAACACCAAAGTGGTTAAGCAACTTACATCCCATGATCTGCCCCCTGACAAACAATATGGTTTGCATCTTGCCCGATCTACTGCTAATGTGCTCATGGCCATAACTGAATTTGTTTACCAAGCACTTCACAATAATAGAGAAACTCAAGCTTTGGCTCTAGATATCTCTAAAGCAATTGATAGGGTTTGGTATGCTAATTTCTTCATAATCTTTAGGGATACAGAATTTCAGGATGATTATTTGACTTAATACAATCATTTCTGTCAAACCATGTAATGAAGGTCATCCTAAATGGATTCTCCTTTAGTTTCTTTCTTACGAATGCAGGTGTTCCCCAAGGTTCTATCCTGAGTCCTACACTGTTTCTGATCTTCATTAACGATCTTCCCAATGTCATCAATTCCCAAGTAGGTATCTATGTAGATGATACCACTATTTACTTCTGCCTCAATAGCAAATCTGGTATCGCTAACAAAACTAACCTGGAATTGGTCTCAAAAAGAACTTCCAATCTGCAGTTGACTGGGGCAAGAAATGGCTGATAAACTTTAACACCTCAAAAACAAAACTGCTCTCCTTTTTCCCACTACAGAGAACCTGCCTCCCATTAAAATGTCTAAAGCTTAACTCCACAAGCTACTTTCGCTGGTTCCCAAACTGCATGAATTTAAGCATGTTACTAGGTTGGCATCTCAGTCCCATCCTTTTACTGTCAAAACTGTTGAATGTAGCTGTCTGTTCTACTCCAATATCTTCATGTCTCGCACTTCCTATCTGTGGAACTTCCTTCCTCTTACTTGCTTCCCTGATAGCTATAATATTCAATTATTCAAATGCAATGTCAACTGACATCTCCTGATGCCTTGATCTAATTCCCTGTCCTTCTCTTCATCCTTTCCTCTATCACGCCTCTTTACTCTTGCTCCCACTCTCTGTAACCCATTGCATGCTGCAGCACTTCTGCTTGGGGTGAAATACTTTAAAAAAAAGAAAGAAAGAAAGAAAGAGCAATACAAGTGCAGAAGGATGTAAAACTGTTTCATAGACTATGAAAATCATTTGGTAAGGAAGAGTACAAAGACTAATTTAAACTATTAGGAAAACATAATTTATTTGGGAAAGATATTAGAATAACCAAGAACTTATATTGGGCCAGACTGCCTGCATACAGATAGAAAATAAGTACAAAAACATAGAAATGAGCATAATATGTCTTCTCACCAGATTTATTCAACCTTACAGCAAAGTGATGTATACAGAACTAGAAGTCCTATCAGGATTTAATATTAGTGGACACTATCTTAAACTTAAGATATGCAGACAACACAGTTTTGATGGCAGACACAGAAAGAATTTACTAAATATTTACTCAAGAGCCACTCAATGTAGAGAGTTACTGAGTGAGGTTGTTATAAGGGTGCAAAGGGCCGGATGTAAGATGTGCATATTATGAGGATATATAGGATAGATAATGGTTGACCTTAGACTTGAAAAGGTTAAGATTATAATGATTATTGATGCCTTCCACAAAATAGTGGTTCTCAGCAAGACTGTGTCTGAAAGAAACTTCTTTCTTACTAATGGAATATGAAGTGAATGGGATGATCTGACCATATCTATGTGGTTTGGCAGGTCTTAGCTGTAAAGGTCTGAGCTGATGGAACTAAGAATGTAACTAATTCGAACATTTAACATGGAAACAGCAATAGAGTTGCAGTGGGCTTTGTAGCGGATCGTGGCGGTGATGAGTACGCGAGTTAAAATTTCCTGCTAGCTAGTCCAACTACATGAGAATATTGGACTTTAATTAAGTCCAAAGAAAACAAACAAGACCAATAAATATATGTAAACAAATATATGTATTAATAACAAGTTACAGGATACAAGCACATGGACAGTTACATGGACAGAGTGCATATGGTGAATATTATCTGTGTGTTTTGTGGTGAGTGTTCGTACGTATGTGTATTGTTCTTAGCGTGTTCCCAGCATTTGGGAAACACTGTATCTGTGAGAGCTCACATCTGCGAGGTGGTATAAGGCCGAAGGCCTGAGGAAAAAAGTGATCGAGGCGAAGGGTCAGCCAGTATTTATAGCCAGGGGAGAGATACCCCTGGTGAAGTGTTAAGGAGCTGAGGAGGAGCTTTTATTTTGTCTGTGGGAAAGAGGCTTTAGTATTATAAAATAATTATCATATCATTGTACCATAATGAGTAAAAACCTATATGTTTTCCTCTATTTATAAATTTGCCTTTATATATATATATATATATATATATATATATATATATAGAGAGAGAGAGAGAGAGAGAGTATATTAGAATTAAAATTCTATTTCAAATATAAGTATCCTCTATAATAACTTTTGAAGTAATAAACATGTTAGATTAAAAAACAAATACATTAATTCTTTAGAAATTGTTACATTTAAATTTTGGATATGAAACTCAGCAGATATGGGACTTTGAGAAAAATTTCTTATTGCTTTATTTAAAAGGGAAAATAGTCTTGCTGAACTATAACACTCTTCATGCATACGTTGTCAAGACATGTTTCTTTATGAAACTTAATTGCCTGTTGTCAGCAAATATATCCATTTTCAAGACATGCTTCTTTATGAATCTAATCTCACATATTCTCAACATTTCTATCCATTTTCAAGACATGCTTTTACAAGGAACTAATATGGCCTGCTATCAATATGTATATATATATATATATATATATACATACACACATTGTCAAGACATACTTCTTTATGAAACTTATATTGCCTGCTGTTAATATATATATATATATATATATATATATATATATATGTAAGCAAATATATGGATATAGATCCAACAGTATGAAGAAAAATATACGGAAAAAACAAACAAAAATCCTTATATACAATTTATACTGTTTTAATGTTAATATGTCAACATCGGACGTTTCGGTCTAATAAACCATCATCAGGACATATTC